GAACCCACGAAAAGGCTCCGACAGCATCTTAGAATGCCTCCGGAGTCACTGCTGCGCTGGTTTTGAGCACTTCATATCCCCTAGTCCAGATTAGTAACGACAGTATCTTGGGATTCCGCCAGAAAGAAGGAATTTCTGCCCCTCAGCATCTGCCTCTGCGCGTTCTGCCCTTGTGTTCTGGCCCTCTGTGGCTTCACTGCTTCTCCGCGGGCAATGTCCTTTGTCCATGAGAGCTTCTCTAGCAGGTACACTCTTGGGTGCAGCCTGAGCGAAAATTTTTCCCGAGCACTAAACTACACAAAGAATGCACGAAAAACATGTTAAAAGTCTCTTGAAGCATCTCTTTTTTTTCCACGAGTACGGACGCCGTGTGGGCATGGTGCCCAGGTCATCATTGAAGGAAGGGAAATACAATCAGATGGTGGAGAAAAGGACAAAGACACCCCAAAAACAAACCAAACAAAACCGACCGCAGCCCACAGGCCGAGACTCCACCATCAAGTAGTATTTCCTCTGTACGAGGGTGAAACGAGTGAGACGGAGACTGCTGACTATCTATGGGCCTGAATTCACGAAAGATGAGCATGGCAGCGAGGGTTTGTGCTCTAGCAAAATCTCAAAGAAGTCGTCAAATGGACTTCACATCACTCTTACCAGTGACCAGCGGCCACTGTACAGGGTGGCAAAAATATGGTCACAATGCAAGTTCCCGGCATTGGGATTCTCTAACGCAGGTCTGATCCTTGCCTAAGTGGATCAGTGGTTGCTATGCAGATCATGCCGTGGAAAAGTCCTTTCTTGTAGCACAACCCATGCAACTGGTTGCACATACAAGTCAAGAGGCATAGTAGTTGGTGGTGTTCAGGCAGTGGCGGCCATAGCAAACAACGAAAACCTGCAGGTAAGGGTGCGAAAGGTTCACCCCCCAAAGGGAGGTCATCTCAGCACCCTTCGGCACACAAAGGTGCCAAACGGGGTGTGCCCTATCCTTGAGAACTGCAGCGTCATTGCAAAAGCATTGTCCAGTTGCGCGCAAGGCCCGTGTGAAACAGGTGAGACCGTGGCCCTATCCTAGCATGGTATATCTGCCTCTTTGTACAAAATTGGTAATGTCATACGTCAACAGAGGGAACTAAGGTTCCCCCTAGACATCCTCCATTGCCACTCTCTACCACCCGCCTGTTGGGAACGAGTAGCTTAGGCTCTCATTCCTATTGGCTCACTGTATTGCGAATGGCGAACAGAGATTGGCGAGCCTACTTAGTGTTTGCTCATTTCACTTGCCGTAGCTTGCTGGCGGTGTGCTTATCCACCATTCCCGCTGCGAAAGCATTGCTTGTCTTTAGTGCAGGGTCTGGAAAGTCTTCTCTCCATTGATCACTGGCATCGGCCGACAACTCTCGGTGCCGCTTGGACTGGACGAGTTACCCACCTTTATCAAGGACATATGTCCTTCGCCATGTGTTGCTTTTTCTTTGTTCGTGCTTTGCTCGAAAATGCGTACTGCCTGCAACAGCGCACAGCGCCATGTAAAGCAGGAGTGGAAACCTCCTGTAGCGAGGTACGCTTAAGGAAGGCTTCTTTTGCGGTGATCCGCAGTTTGGGACAGATCAACAACTTGAGCTGTTGACTTTTTTCCACGAGTACGGACGCCGTGTGGGCATGGTGCCCAGGTCATCATTGAAGGAAGGGAAATACAATCAGATGGTGGAGAAAAGAACAAAGACAACCCAACAACAAACCAAACCAACCAAACAACCGCAAACCACAGCCCACAGGGCGAGTCTCCACCATCTTGTAGTCTTTCCTCTGTGCTAAGGTGAAACAAGTGAAAACGAAAACTACTGACTATCAATGGGCCTGAATTCTCGAACGAAGAGCATGGCAGCGCGGGTTTGTGCTCTAGCAAAGTTTCCAAAAAGTCTTCAAATGGACTTCACTTCTCACTTACCAGTGACCAGCGGCCACTGCACGGTGTGGCAAAAACATGGTCACGATGCAGGTCCCGAGCATAGCTATGCTCCAACGCCGGTTGTATCCATGTCAAAGTGGATCAGTGGTTGCTATGCTTCATGCCGTGGAAAAAACCTTTCTTGTGGCACAACCCATTCAACTGATTGCACTTACAAGTCCAGAGGCATATTAGTTGGTGGTGTTCAGACAGTGGCGGCCATAGCAAACGAAGAAAGCCTGCAGGTAAGGGTGCGAAAGGCACACCCCCCCGAAGGGAGGTCATCTCAGCACCCTTCGGCACCCGGAGGTGCCAAAAACGGGGTGTCCCCTAACTCCGTGAAATGCTGCGTCATTGCAAAAAGGGTCTGTTGCGTGCAGGGCCCGTGTGAAACAGGTGAAACGTTGGACCTATCCTAACCTGGTATCTGTACCCCTTTGTACAAAATTGGAAATGTCGGACATCAACAGTGGAAACCAAGGTTCCCCCTGGGCATCCTCCATTGCCACTCTCTACCACCCGCCTGTTGGGAACGAGGAGCTAAGGCTCTCATTCCTACTGGCTCACTGTATTGCGAATGGCGAAAAGAGGTTGACGGTCCTACTTAGTGTTTGCGCATTTCCCTTGCCGTAGCTTGATGGCGGTGCGCTTATCCACCATTCCCGCTGCGAAAGCATTGCTGGTCTTTGCAGGTCTGGAAAGTCTTCTCTCCATTGATCACTGGCATCTGCCAACCGCGGCGCTGCGTGGACTAGACGAGTTACCCACCTTTGTCAAGGACATATGTCCTTCGCCATGCGTTGCTTTTTCTTTGCTTGTACTTTGCTCGAAAGTGCGTACTGCCTGCAAAAGCGCATAGCGCCATGTAAAGCAGGAGTAGAAATCTCCCGTAGAGAGGTACGCTGAAGGAAGGCTTCTTTTGCCGTGATCCTCAGCTCTACTCATGGTATTTGGCCTGCTGTGGCCTCTGGCCTACTCTGGACTCGAGCTAAGGCGCGCGCCCAGACTCTTGATGAGTGTCAATGAGACTGCGATAGCTGTGATCCGAGAGGCTTGTCTTCATCCAAGACCAGGGGTGCATCCCATGTCCGGGATCATATGCAGCCAGGGTGGCCATCTCATATCGGGACAAATGGCGAAAGCATTTTCTTCAGCATAGACTCCTCGCCATTTGTGCTTAAAGGCCCAAGAAAGCCCTACTTCTAATGTATCTTAGTGAAGGCGGGATTGCAAGCTCAACTAGGGCTGCACAATTCATAAAGGCTTTAACTCGGATTGTATGGAGAGTAGTCGGAAGGAGAACTTCTCTGAGGCTAGTGCAGTGCACAAAGGTGAATTCCGGAATTTCTTCAACATTGGTGTTGCAAAGGTCTACACTCTTAAGCAGTCGGCAACTGTCACACGCATGCGCTCCAATGGCTGTAAAATGCTTCGTGAGAGCGACAGAGATGCTGGAGGCAGAAGATGACGCAAGGAGCGACTTACCCCCACAGGACGTGGACTCTCCAAGTAGCAGCCCCACATCGCACTCCTCTGAGTCCCCAATCAAACGAAGACCGGGGTCTAAGGCTAGTGCAGTCCAAAAAGTTGCAGAAATCACTTGCTCCAACATCCAGACAACCACTCGGCAGCATTCCTGAACATGAGCAACCACCGGCCACACTGGCAGACCTAGCCAGTCGGAATGCTCACAGGCAGGAGGCTCCCGTTTGCAGGAACCCTGAGACACCACCTGACCACCCTGGATCGGCGCAAGAGCGCCCACACGCCATGACAGAAATTGACAAGAGCATGCAGAGCGTGGAGGCACGGCCGCCACTGATCTCCAATTGGAATCCGAGCAGAGAGCCATGCAGGCCCTATACGACTATCAAAATGCGGCTCGAACGGCCAGAGAAACTGACAGGCAAAGGGCGCCGCTCCCCTCATTACAGATCTAGAGTGACCTGCCTAGAGAATGGCCGATGGCGAGGCTTGCTATTTCCAACAAGCAAATTAATCGCCTCGTCCGTACATTCCTCTGGAGGAGGGTGACAGAACAAGCATTCCATGGCTCCTCCTTTGTGGACATTCCAGATGAAATCAACCAGGCCTATATAGGAGATCTCCTCCGTGTAAGTGAAGCCTTTGTTGAAGCCACAGAGGACGAGGACACGGCAGCTGAACCCAACTATGCCTTTGCCAAGGGTAATGGACGGTTTGGCATAGGTTATGCCAGACTGCAACGGCGCTTGGCAATTTCGAGCAAGGGAACATCGAAGCAGAAAGTGCAGTAGTAGCTCAGTGACTGACCTCCGGGCTACGGGTTGCCATGGCCCGCACAGGGTGGAATTTGCTGTCTCCCCGCTTTATGCTGACCAAAGCCCCTGGTGTTGTCCTCAGTGACTACTCTGCCATGGACATTCTTTCACTCCTAAAGATGGCAGATCGCCCATACAACCAATATGGCCCACATCTCTACTCCGAAGATCGATGGGATCAGCTCTGTACATGGCTCACTGGGATTAGAATTCAACTTGCGGGCCACAAGCAGGCGCTTAGGGACCACATGGGCTACAGTCAAGAAGCCTCCGACCCAAGTAATAAAGCTCGCCGAACTGTCTCCCCTCCAGGAGCGGGAAGCTCCTCGTCTGCAGCAAGGCCTTTCTGGCACAATAGGCCTCCCCCATCGCCTTCGCCCATGGGTGGTCCTATGGGTGGTGGCAGTGGGGCAGTCGACAGTAGGGGTCCTCCCACACAGCAACCGTCTCCTCGTCGCTCGACCTTCTCCATGAGATGGGTGTCAACAGGTCGTGGGATTCTGCCTAGCTATCTGGGTCTATGCTGGTGTAATTCAGTAACAGGCCTTTACTAGCCATGATCACTCACTGAAGCCTGGTGATGGGATAGGCCCAATGTATACAGTTTGTCTGGTTGACTGCTTGATGATTTGGATGCTGTGCATAGAGTTTTGCAACGAAGGCATCGGGCAAGCGGTGGCTGGAGCTTTGGTTCACAAAGGTCTGCGGAAGCTCTCTCTGCTGGCAAGAAGCGCACGCGGCGCAGCCAAATGTCCAGAAGGTGCGTTTGCTAGCTTCTGTTAGGTATCTACAATTCGATTCTCATTCAATCTTTTTTCAGAGTTTAGTTTAGTTGGTGCAAGCAGGCCAATTTATATAGAGCCATTGCCAGTTGTTTTGTGCGCGAATGTGCCTTGGCAAGGTGCTTCGGTGGAATTCTTGCGCGCGGACGTGAGCAGCTTGTCAGACCTCAGAGCCGCACTGCAGCACCAGGGCGACTCCATCACGGGAATCATACATGCCGCAGGACTTGTCAATGATGCCAAGCTTGAGGACATGGATTGGACGAGCTTCCATGAAGTACTGCGCCCCAAGGTGCACGGCGCTTACCATTTGCATCGGCTCACAAGGTCAGATGTTAGACTCTCCATTTTCACTATGTTCTCATCATCCAGTGCTGCCCTTGGTTCACGCCGGCAATGCAACTACTTGGCCGCAAATAGCTTTCTGGATGCTGCAGCGTTTTTTCGACAGGAAGCAGGGCTTTGCGGCTTGAGCATTGGGTGGAGTGCGTGGGATGTTGGCATGGCGCAGAGACTTCCCACACCTAGTGGCATGCGCAAGATCTCAACTTTGGAGGGGGTTGAAGCTTTCCAAAGAGTATGCTGGGCTCAGCTGCCTTTGGCTCACATTCTTCCTGTGCAAGTGGATTGGCTAAGTTACCTGACAGCCTATGGTAAGATTCATGGTACCGCCAGCTGCCTGCAACACCTTGCTTACAACTCCGCCAGGCAGGCCTCGTCAGAAGATGACCGAAGCCTGGCCCAGGCCTTGTCAGAGAAGCTGCAACAGATTTTGCGCTGCAATTTCGACTTGACAGAGATTGATGAGGAGACTGGCTTTGGTGAGCTCGGCTTAGACTCATTGGATTTGGAAGAGTTTGCCACCAGGGTCGCCGAGGAGGTAGGAGTGACGATTGGTGTGATAGATCTCTTTGATTGCTCCAACATTGCAATGCTCGTGGCATTCCTGCTGAAAAGAGCCCGAAAGAGCCCCGAGGAGCAGGGTCTGCTCGGAGTACTACAAGGGCCACTGTCCAATGACAACAAGTTCCCTGCAGACAGACAACTAGTTTGGTCTCTGCAGACAACTGCAAGACCTGGAGCGTGCCATAGCTGCATTCTTGGAGTTGCGTGCCGCTATCCGGGAGGAGTGAGCAGTATTGATGAGCTGTGGCACACTTTTGCCAGCGGACAGGACTGCGTCGATACCCTTCCTGCAGACAGATGGGGCCCCAGGTTGGCCGAAGAGATCTACACAGATAGCATTGCTCACTTGGACCAATTAGATTCCTTTGACGCTGGGTTTTTCAATGTACCTCCTGCAAGTGCCAAGTTCATGGATCCACTGCTGCGTTTGAGTTTGGAGTCTGTTTACCACGCATTGGAAGACGCAGGCATTGTGGGTGGAGATGTTGACGACACAACAGCTGTGGTTGCAGGATACATGACGGCAGATTTTCTTCAAGCCTTTGGGAACGGCCGCGACGCTGCAATCCCAGCAGGTACGATGCAAGGAATGTTCCCAGGGCACATCAGCCACTTTTTCAATTTCACTGGTCCTTCGAAATGCTGTCAATCAACTTGCTCATCCTCTCTGGTTGCTCTGGATGCAGCCAAGAAGGAAGTTGAGTTTGGGTCTTGCACTCGAGCAGTGGCTCTGGGTGCGAATGTCATCCTGAGCCTTGACTTGATGGTGCAGGCGTGCAAGATGGGGATGCTGTCGAGGAAGGGCAGATGCCTGAGCTTTGATCAAGCAGCTGATGGCTATGTGCGCGGTGAAGGTAGCGGTGTTGTTCTCTTGGGCAGCCAGGTTAGCCACATTGCGCGTGGTACGTTGCTGGGGTCTGCGAGCGGGCATAATGGCCACAGTGCTGCATTGACTCAGCCAAACCCCAAAGCTCAACAGCGCGTGATTGAGCTGGCCATTCATCACAGTGGCGCTAGCGCTGTTGATGTGGGATATTTGGAGGCGCATGGGACAGGCACACCTTTGGGAGACCCTATAGAGGTGAAGGCTTTGCGAGGTGTTTTTGCCGGAGTGTACTCCCAATCCTCCCCTCTATTCGTGGGCACTGCCAAGAGTACATTTGGTCACTTGGAAGCTGCTGCTGGGATTCTTGGTGTGCATCGAAGCCTTTGCTGCCTTTTGCACTCATGCATCCCTAGACACATTTGGCTTAAGAATTTGAGTGAGCGTGTGGTGGAGGAGATGGGGGAAAAGGCTTCGTGGCGCCACATTGTCGGTGAAGAGACTTCATGGAGAGGGAACATTGCAGGTGTCAGCAGCTTTGGCCTGAGCGGAACCAATGCGCATGTGATGGTTCAAAGTGTGTCTCCGTCAATTTCGCACTCACCTGGCATTGGGACGCCAGTTGTCCAACATTCTTTTCCGTGCATTTTGGTATTTTCAGCCAAGAGCTCGCACTCGCTTGAAGCTTTGAAGATCAAGTACACGCGCAGCTTGAGTGATCCGTCGGCAAATACATGGGAGATTTGTTTGGCTAGTGCTGCTGGAAGAGCGCATTTCCCACATCGCTTTGCAGCAGTGGGTGGTCGTGATAGCTTGTTGGATGCCCTCAGACGCCCATGTGTGCCCACCAAGCTCCAGAAATCAAGGCCAGTAGTTCATGTGGAGGTGGAGGCAGATCCAGGCATTTGCGGCCAGGACCTGTGTGATCGAAATCCGGTCTTTCGCACTCTGGTGGATCTTTTTGGATCACATTTCGCGCAAGTGGAGATGCCGCTGGCCCTAGCTTCTTTGTTGGAGAGTTGGGGTCTTCAAGTACAGCTTTCAGGCAGTTCTGTAGAAACCTTGTCCAAGCTTCAAGAAGTTGTGCAGATGGGTCGTGCGTGGGCCGTCGGAAAATGGGATGTCCGTGCACTTAAGAAGAAGGTCTCCTCATTTCCCTGGCCTGGATATGCTGGAGACAGGCTGAGGGTTCGAAGCTTGCAGTTGCAACAGACCGTTTTTGCTCTCAATGGGGATTTCCTACCAGCTCTTTTGGAATTGCTTGCGCACCTGTACATTGGTTGGGAGAGCACATTGGATTGGAGAAGCTTCAGTGCTAGCTTTGGGCAGACTGAGCCCCTGAGGTCTTTGCCACTGTATGCCTTTGACAGGCAGGGACACTGGCCTCAGCCATCAATGTCTGCCGAGCTCTTCTTCAAGGACCCTGTCTCTGGTGCACTGTGGTATACAGTGAAACTTGAGTTGGACGGGCCATGGCGCTTTCTGTTGGATCATTTGATGGAAGGCAAGGCAATCATGCCAGCTGCCACCCAGGTCGAACTCCTCTTGGATGTAGCGAAGAAAGCAATGATGCAACTTGACAGACCTGTTCACCAAGTGATTCTGAAAGACTTGGCTTTTCTTGCCCCGCTACAGCTGGACCACAGTCCCTTGAAATGTATGATCAGCTGCCTTGAGCGTGAGGATAGCTTGGAACTGAAAGCCTTCGAAGAAAGCAATATCTTTTGCCAGGCCCGGGCTGTACCAAGCCAAGAAGACCAATCACCAGAACATTTTGCACACATGGTGTCACGACGGGAGGGATCAAAGATGATTGAGTCTGAGCAAATTTACCGCGAGTTCTGTGCGGTCGGCCTTGACTACCAGAAGAGCTTTCGGGTTTTGCAAAAGGCAGAGATTTTCCAGGGTGAGGTGTGGGCAGAGATCACTGCCGATTTCTTTACGACATGGTTGGATGGGGCCTTGCAAGCCTTGGGATTGGCCCTCAGCCACCTTGAAAGTCTGATGCCCAGGGCCATTGGCAAAGTACAAATCTTTGCAGACCCTCACTCTTTGCATTCCATCCTCAGAATCACTAGACTCTATGCATCTTGGACCCCACGGCCAGTCGTCAAATGCTTTGATGCCTCCGGAAAGGTTGTAGCTTTGCTGGAAGACATTTCAGTCCAGTCGCCCGGCCGACGACCAGGAACTTACCTTCAAGAAAGACCTGCTCAAAACGCTGGTCCTTGGGCTCCGGAGAGTGTCTTTTTCCAGGAAATTTGGGCTCCAGAAAACTCGAAGCTTCTTGGTTTGATGCAGCGTGAGCAAGAGACTTTGGTCGCCAAGATGGCCGAAAGGGCTGGTGGCAAGGTCTGGGATACCAAGCAGGAGGAGGAGAGGAGCAAAAAGCTGAATGATCTTGCGCGGGCGTATAGTGTGGAGATCCTCAGCCTTGGAACCTTGGAGGGCTTGCCGCATTGTGCAAAGCTGAAGGAGAATCTTCAACACGCTTTGCAGCGTGCCACAGTGCATGACTCACTGGCAAAGGACTTCTGTGAGGGTCGTGTTTGCAGTGCTGCAACACAAATTCAGCTCCGTGCCGATTTGGTGGAACCTTGCCCAGAACTTGCGATTCTTCGGAAATGTGGAGACCGTTTGGCAGCAGGCCCTACTCTAGCCGAGGATGCAGATGTGCTTTCCCTATTGTCTCCGGAGAAAGATGAGCTGTACGAACATGGTATCAGTTCCAGGGCCGCCAATGACTTCATTGCTGAATGCGTTTCGGCGGTGCAGCATGTGGCTCCCAAGCGTACAAGCATCCTGGAGATTGGCGCCGGCTCTGGTGCGACGACGAAAGCTATCTTCAGCCACTTTCAACCAGCGCAATACCACTTTACCGACCTTTCAAAGGCTTTCTTCAAGAAAATCGAAGGACGACTTGATGTATCAACAGCGATCCTGAAAAAGATCCATGTCAGCAAGGTTTCGCCCCATATAGCTTCAACCTAGTGATTTGTAGCAATGTTCTCCATGCTACTCGGGACCTTGCTGCAACACTCCGACACATTAGGCGGGTTTGCGTGCCTGGCGGCATTCTGCTTCTCTCTGAAACAGTTTGCAATGATGAGTGGCTGGACTTGACCTTTGGCCTTTTATCTGGTTGGTGGCGCTTCACAGGCTCAGACCCAGACCGTTCCAGCACATTGCTCTCTTTGTCGAGCTGGCAGAGACGTCTGCGGGAAGAAGGCTTCAGGCCCCTTTGCCACTTCGGGGGCCGACAAGTGGTGATCCTCGCCACGGCGGAATCTGAGTCCATCGCAGCTGCTCCAAGACCTCCAAGTGGAAGCTTCGTTTGGCTCGTGAAGCCGCAGATGCCAAGTGCACGAGCCGAGGAACTCAGCAGATGGCTCATCAAGCTATTGAGGCACGCAGGCGATCTAGAGCAGGAGATTTCCGTTGAGGCCAGGACCTAATGATGTTCAAGCACGTAAACAACCAAGGAAACTTGTGAAAATTGGGTCTTCTTGTTCTGATAGTGATACTTTTGCTTCACGCTGTCGCGTTGCACCAAACATTTTTGTTTTGCGATTCCATTTACTGTATCCTAAATTAGATTGTCACCTTGCTGGTTCCAAGTCGCATGCGCTTCCTTGAAGTCACATAAAGTCAGTGGAGATCATGCAGGACTTGGAGCGCCATGCTAGCCATGCTCCAAGGCCTCGTGGTGTTCTTTTCCTGGCTGCATTGGAGCCCAACACAGCAGCTGCCAACATGTCATGTCGGATGGCCAAATACCATGAGAATGCAAGTGGAGGCTTAATCCGCGTGTTGCAGGCTCTACCTGAGGATGCCAACATTGTTGTTGTTACAGAGGGTGGTGTTCCTTGCCAGGGTCCAATCAATGCGCATCAGGCTCTTCTTTGGGGTCAAGCCAGAGGTCATGAACTCTCGTTCCTTGCCTATGGATTTAGGCAGTGTTGGGAGTGGGAGATTCCAGCAAATACAATTCAATTCTTTCTTCCTTCCTTCTTCCTTCTTTCCTTCTATCTTTCTTTTTCGCTATCTTTTTCTCTCTCTCTCTCTCTCTCTTCAAAGCCCAGCTGACACAGCAACACTGGAGTTGTGACCCTTTGATTGTGCAGGGAAATTGACGGGTTGGTTTGCACAAGGTTTCTGGATGTGTCTGGTCAAGTGCAGAAATTCGATGAATGGTGGCGCTAAGGCTTCGCAGAAGGTTGTGCATGCTTGACATGGATCCGGCGGTGACTGGGGCAGTCGAAATTTCAGCCTGGGCTGCTGCCCAACTACTTTGGAGAAGACATGAAGAACCTCAAGAGATAGTTGTCCGGGAGGAATGCATCCTCAGAAGCAGCATCTCAGAGTATTCACCACCAATCTTTAAGGGCCTGGACTTAGCTGGGGAGACTTGCTTGGTGGCTGGCGGTGGCGGCGGCTTAGGACAGGAAGTGGTGAAGTTCCTGCTTGACCATGGTGCGGCTGTCACGGCTATTGGACGTACGGGGTCAACAGAATTGCGCTTTTCCTTGCCTCACCAGGCAGAGTATGCGCAAGTTGATATCAGCCAGCCTGACCAGCTGGAGCAGGTAATTAAGCGCGTAGCCCCAAGTCAGGTCTTTCAGCTCGCTGGAGTTTTGAAGGATGCAGGGCTCAAGGATTTGACATGGAAGAAGTTTGAAGATGTACTGAAGCCTAAAGTCTATGGGGCCCACTACTTGCATTCTTTTTCACCAAGCGCTAGAGGCTTTGTCTTGTTCTCGTCCATGGCTTCCATCTTGCCCTTCCAGGGCCAGATCAACCATGCAGCCGCCAATGCCTTTTCGGATGCTTTAGCTCACGAGCGAAGACAGTCCGGTCTTGAAGGTGTTGCCATCAACTGGGGCCTGTGGATGGAAGTTGGAGCTGCAGCTGCAGCCGGTGCTTTGGAGATGGGTCGCAAGCAAGGCATGAGGGCCATGTCGAACCAAGAGGCAGGAATGCGCTGCTTGCAATGGTGGCGTTGTTTCTTGAAGTCTTCTTGTTGTTAGCTGGATTTCTTGTAATTGCACACCCCCCTGGTAGGCCTTGGCAGCGCTTGAGCAGGTTCTGAACCCCAACCTCAGGGTGGTCCAGGTAGCTATTTGCCCCACGAACTGGTCCCAATATCGACGGATGCACCGGCACATCGACCGCAGACTCCGAAAGCTCCCAGCTTTTGAAACCTGGTTGGAACCTTCGAAAGCAACGTTGGGAAAGGTGAACGTTGGTTCTTGGTCACGGGACTTGGTCGTCAAGCTGTTGCAAACAGTCATGGAATGGGACATGCAGCAGTTGGATGCAGATATAGATTTTATTTACCTCGGTATGGATTCTATCTATGCTCACGAATTTGCCGAAGCATTGAAGAAGGAGACAGGTTTGGTTTTGCAAGCTTCCTTTGTGCAAGGCTCAAGCATAAGCAGCTTGATCAATCACCTAGATGCGCAAATTTCAAGCTATGAACCTGAACAAGATGCCTCAAACCAGGCAGATCTTCAGATTGCAGGTGCCCAGCACCTTGACCGACGAGGTGAAAGCTTCAGCCCCACCCGAGGTGAGACTCATGTCGTGGGTCTGGGTGTCCGCACGAGTGCTGCGCTTTCGCAGGGGGAGTTCTGGCTGCAGTTGCTGGCCGGAGCGGGAGTCGGCAAAGTTCCAAACATGAGGTCAAACTTGGTGGTTGAGGTTGACCAGGGCGGTTTCTTGGAAGATATTCACAGCTTTGACTGGGCATTCTTTGGTATACAGTATGCAGAAGCGCAACTCATGGATCCACAGCAGATTTTGCTCATGGAGGCCACCTTTCATGCAATTCCATGCGATCTTGGGCGTGGTGTCGGGGTGTGGGTTGGAATCGGGGCCAGCGAGAACATGGAGATGACTGCTCAAGCTCTTGATGGCCAATCTCAGCCAGATTGGCGAGCAAAATCTGGGATCTTTGCAGTCGGGAACAACCGTAGTGCCACCGCCAGCAGATTGTCCTTCTTCTTCAATTGGCAAGGCCCAGCTGTGGCTCTGGATACTGCGTGCTCCTCATCTTTGTTTGCTTTGGATGCAGCTGTCAGAGTCTTACGGGCGCACGAGCTTCAATCAGCTCTAGCCGCTGGTGTGAATGTCATTCTTTCACCGTGCCTCATGCGACGATATGCTTCTATGGGCATGCTGTCGCCCTCAGGCAGCTGCCGAACCTTCGACCTGTCAGCTGACGGTATTGTTCGAAGTGAGGGCTGTGGAGCTCTGATGTTATGCCAAGAGACACGTGGCATCCAACGGGAAGCTCAAATCTTAGGTTTGGCGACCAACAACAATGGCTCTGCTGCGTGCAGTGCCGGCCCGACTGGAATCATGTGGCCATCTGGCAGAGTTCAACAAGAGCTCATCAACTTGGCCATGAAAGATGCCGGCTTGAAGTCGATTGACGTTTGCTTTGTTGAAGCCCACGGTACGGGCACAAAACTGGGTGATCCGGTTGAAGCTGCAGGGATTGCATCCAGTTTGGGCCGCCTGCCAGATGGCAACAACATTTTTGTTGGCGCTTGCAAGTCTGTTCTTGGCCACCATGAGGCCGCAGCTGGAATGATGGGTGTGCTGAAAGCCATCAAGTCCTTGGCGTACAGCTCTTTGCCATCCAACCAGCACCTGGTGATCTTAAACCCGCATATTCATGGCGCTGATCTGCAGTTTGCAGCTTCCACCTTGTCTATGACTTCTTCAGGGGTTGCTGGCGTCGCAGGTGTGAGCAGCTTTGGATTCAGTGGAAGCAATGCGCACGTTCTCTTGGAAGGATCAGCAGGCTTCAACAATGGCTCTCACCACCCCTACCTTTGGACGAAGCTCCAAAGCTTGGTGCCATTTTTGAGCACATCACCACATGACCACACAGGGCATTTGTTTGAGGCAAGAGGGGATCTTCTTCCGTACATTCTACCACTCACTGCAAAGCCAGACGCCTTTCCACATTTGTGTGTTCAAGTGGACCACCTATGCCAGACTGCCGGTGCCTAAGAAGTGATGTTCCAGTTTCCCAAAGCTTAGTGTTTACGATTCACTTGCACTGCTAGGGGGGGATTTTGTGGTGGGCCAAATTGCCCATCAAATGCTCTGCGAAGGCCTTAGTGTATACTTGGGCCTGGGCAGTCAAAAAGCGTCCTGCAGCAATGCCTGAAAGTTGAAGGTGAGGCTTGTGGGTTCGCTAGCATTTGGTGCCATGCCAGCATGTTTTGAGTTCAAAAGGGTGACACCCCCAAATCAGCAGTCCCGTCGGCTTCTTCCACTGCGTATGGTACTGGTACTGGCACATGTCTGCGCGAATCAGAAAAACACAAGGAAGACGTAAAAGGCGCTGCAAAGGAGGGGTCAACCAAATCATGCTAGTCCATGGGTTTTCCAAGTAGCCACACACGTTGTGTTTCAGACACCAGCGGATCAGCGAGGCAGCTTGTCTAACCATGTGATTGGCAGCTCTGACCTTGCGTAAGTCATGGAGCGAGAGACCATGCAACCCCCATATGCCCTTGGTCGGGTGGCGCAGAGGTGAAGGCATCTTCGACCACCAGGGAGCCCGTCTCGCTCTGCTCCATGTGTTGCAGGGAATGTCGATGCCCACAATGGTTGCAAGCGCAGCAAGCCGCTTGACATCTTTCCATCTTGAGGGTCTCCCCAGGTCATTGAGGGTAGAATGGGCAAGATCTACTAAAATGGAATGACCACCATTTTTTGCCACAACCTTTGCTCATTCACCCACACCCCCAAGCAAACTCAAGAAAACTTCGGCTCGCATGCTACCTTCAGTTGCCTCACCAGATTCCGAGGAAGCTGGGAAGTGCCATTGCGGTAGTACATGCCGAAGTTCTTCTGTAGCTCGTCTGCGAGCCTCTGCCACGCGCTGCTGTACTGGTTGATCGCTTGCTGAAGTCTGCCCGGCTTGTCGTAGATCCTTGCTGAGGCGTCGCAGGCCCATCGTCCCCGACGCTGTATTGCTGGGATCATTCGCAACTTCAACAGGTGATCCCGACTGCCCAATTTTTCTACTGCATCTTTCCACTTCTTGAGGTAGTCGGCAGCTTTGAAATTCCATAATGGAGTATCCTCTCCCAGAGCCTTGACTTGTTGCTTGGACTGTTCTATGAGGAGTTTCCCCAACCAAGGCGCTCGGACATCGTCCAGTATCAGTGCCTCGTCGTAGATCCCGACTTTGGACGCCACTCCACGCTCCAGAGGCCCCAGCACAATCACTGGGAAGTTGAAGTCCCGGTTCGGGGCAACCACGTCCTCTGCGTAAACTCTCAACATTTCCCCCGGGCGAGCATAGGTCGAAAAAGTCGCCTCGTTGTAGAGTGCCTCCCCTTGTAACCAAGATGCAAGAAGACTGCGCTGATGGCTGACTTCAAGAATTCCAACATGGGCAGTCGTGTCTGCTGTGGAGCCAAACGTCTCCACTCTTTCATGGCCTGCGAGAGAGAGCCGACCGTCTCTGGAAAATTCCGGCCTCTCGAACTCTACCGCTGCCTGGAGCTTCTGCCCGAAGCTGACATCCTCTCCATCCAGGAGCAGCTGATCCACAAACTCGCAAAGTGCTTGGTCTAAATCTGCCTCTGTGTAGAGGGGCAGCTCGTACCTCAGGGCGAATGCGTAGAACATCTCTAGCCGCCTGGCATAGTCCTTCCTCTGTGGACTCTTCACACGGGCCATTTCTAGCAAAGATCTCTCCCCTATGGACGCTCTCATCTTGACTGCATACTTCCTCTTTCTTGCAATGGCTCTCTCTCTCTCTCTCTCTCTCTCTCTTCTTTTTGTGCTCTCTCACTTCAGAGCAAGCTAGGGCGGGACCCCCTCTCTTCGATCGGAGACCAGCTTCGCTCTCTCCTCCTCTGCTGGGAAGTGTTGGCCACCTCGGTCAATGGCGCCTTGTTGCCAACGAAGCCATTTCTCTTTCTGGCTTCCTCCTTGGTGAACACCTTGATCACCGTCTTGCATTCTCTGCTTTTCCTCAGGGCACCTCCGCCTCTCACGGAAGCGGCTGTCTTGGTCCGCAACATTGAGTTCCGACGGCGCCCATCTGACATGCACTCGGATGCCACTTGCGAGACTATGTGCCGAAATCCCTGCAAAGCAACCGCAACAAACCGTAGCTGGAGCATCTACCTTTTTAGCAAGCAAGCGCAACCCCCATATTGTCATTCAGGATGGTGATGTGACTATGATGACGGTGCTATCCCGAGCACGATGTTTCACCGCCCCCAGAATACTCCGCGCCTCGATAAGGTGCACAGGCTCTTTGAAGTTGATGGGACTCCTCCACAGCAGGTGCCAATCATCTCTACCTAGCCAACCTTTTGGGATCTCCGTGAAGTCCCGCTCGAGCTCAACGTCACCCAAAACCTCCCCCGAAGCGCAAGGTAACACTGTTGCAACATCATCAAAAATAGCATCACCCCCCAGAGCATGTAACCTTTGTGGAATAGAACAGGACTTTCCCCTCTTGAACCACCATCGCTCGTCTCATCTACTGTGGGTCGCCACCTCCTCCACTGACTGGTCGCGCTCCAGGACCGCGTAGCCCGAAAGGCAAGCATCTGTGCAGAGCAGCTCCGAATCCCAGCGCAAAGAAGTTCTGTTCACCCCCAAAACCATCAAATGTTGAAACAGCCATAACTCTTTTGCCACCGAAGCCCACAATCTAGTCCTCTTGCTATAGGATACCTCAATGAAACTGTAAACATGTCTCGTAATACGCATCAGCCCCCGGTGTAGCACAGCCCTAACGGTGAGATGACCAACAATGACTTGCAGCTCTGCCCCAGAGATGACTGGTCTTGCTTGCTCGCTTGCTTGCTTGCAGCGCCTCCAAGGCTCTGTGCAAACGCCAGTCCCGGGCACAGGTGGGCCTGATCCTGGATGCCAAGCCATCAACTCGGACACCCAGGCTCTCCGCAAGCGTGGTGGGAGCCACTATGTCGTGCGTCTTCAAACCATGTTGCTCCAATGAGGATATCATATGCTGATGTTCTTGTTGGACTTTGTATACCTATGCCTATATGGTGGTCATTATCTGCGTACACCAACATGGCATTCTCTGCGTCGTTCGGCGAGGAACCCAGCCTAGGCGGGGTCCTCAACAGGGTCTGGTTTGCCAGGAAGCAGTGAGCCTGATGCGCCAGGTGAAACGCCCAAGAAAAACCCATCGGCAGAACCTTCATGAAAGGGTACACCTGGACGTGGTGATGGTGAAGGTCTAAAATCTCTTGGAGGCATGAACGTCAACTCACTAGCCAGTAGAGAGGGTTGCACCGCTGGGAACGCAAAGCACTCACCTACGGATCTGGAATTACCCAAGCGATAGAAGTAGTCCTTTACATCCTCCTGTGCCACAAAGAAGAGCGTGCTCGGCTCAGTCTCAAGTCTACCCCAAGTCTCCATGTTTCCCAAGAGTGTGGTTGGTGGCTTTTGGAAAAGCTTGTTACAGACCCTGGCATCCAGAACCAAACGCTGCTTTCCTTTTTCTTCATGACAAAGAAAGCTCCAAGCTGTACCTTTAGAATCGACGTGAATCCAATCAGGCCACTCTTGTAGAGCTCAGAGACAAACTGGTGATACCTCTTGGCATCGTTCGCGAGGAGCGGATCCATATGACTAAGACCTTCCACCCCTGTCTCAAGCACAGCGGCCCGCTCCTCGGGGCCTAGCAACATCTCCTCCTCAAAGTTCTCCAAAATCTTCCTGTCACGATCAGGCAGGATTGAAAGCAGCTCAACCGCAGCCTCCTGCCCACTAGGAAGGGACACCTTCTCCCGCACGTAGCTGGCGAGTTGCCCTGGGCTCTCATAAGCAGCCCCAATCTTCAGCAGCTGCCGAAGCGCTGCCTGAGGGCTCTGGTGTGAGTCGGGCGGTGGTCGATCAACATGAGCCCTGTGGATATGAACAAGCGCAGACCTCTGTGCACTGTTTAGGACCTGCACTGGCCACTGAGCCTCGTCCTCGAAACCAGCCAGAGAGTTCAAAGCTCTGACTGTGTCTTGCTCTCGTGCAAGGAGAAGCCGTCTTCTAACAACACGTTGTGTTGCCCGCCTGGACTTCACATCACCATGGAAAAAGAGGATCAGCAGGAAGCGGTAAGGGAAGTAGGTCCCCAAACCGCTCCCAAGGCAAATCAAAACTGGTGCTCTCAAAAGGTTTCCTCGTGCCAGAAGCGCCACTCCCTGGCCCGAGGTCGTTCTCCTCAGGGACTCTCATGGCCCTTTGGTGGGCCTCCCTTCTTTCCTTTGTTCTTCTTCACATCGTCATCGCCCTCTGTGGTGATCCGCTTGGTGAAGCGCTTCTCTTCAGCCGCGAGCCGCTTCTGCTTCAACACCTCCGCCTTGGCTGCCTGTCGCTTTGCCGCGGCTGGTGATGGCGGGATCCACCACACTGCCATCAGCGGATTCCCGGACACCCAAGATCTCTTCGGCGCCCTCATAGCTGGGACCCTCAGGTCGCCCCTGGTGGGCTATCTCAATCAGGGCCCTTCTCCGATTGAGAGCTTCGGCACTGGCTAGGGAGACCACATTGAGTTGGTCGTAGGACACCATGTAGTGCAACACACGACAAATGCATGCATGCTCGTAAACACTGCGATCAGTGGATCGAACACCTGAATTTTTCAGCCAACTCTCATGGTGCATCATGAAATCCATGCTTTGCCTGCGAAGCTGCCGAACGTCTCTCATCATTGTTCTCGGGCCGGCCCCTCGCCTCGAAATGCGAAGCTAAGCAGTGCTCCAAGGCCTCACGCAGGATCTGCTTTCAGCCTCGAAGCGCCTGCAAGTACCAGGCTTGAGACTGTCGCCCATGAGCGACAGAAGGAGCCTAAGTCCTCGAAAACAAGGGTGCGACCAGACTCACGCCATGTATTCATCTACCCTTCAGAGAACTCTTGAGATTCATATGTAGCAGAAAGTGTGCCTGTTCATCAAAACTGCCTAAAGGCTCACTTACCGACATGCACCGACGTGCCTGGAGCATGCGGAAAGCATGTAGTGTTTTTGCACTTTGCTTAGGCCGGTGTGTAGTGTTTGCTGAATACATCCAAGCTGGGCATCATAGTGGCTCATCAGGGTAGCAGATGCATCTTTGAGTGTTGTAATTTAATCTCGGGAGCCGCTGCTTGCAGTGAATTTTGGCAGCCTTGCGGGGACAAACTCGCATGACGCAGGGGTTTGGGCTGTTGCTTGAGAACTGACGATGCAGGTTTGGAAAGACCCAGCGAATCTAGATGCAGAGAGCCGAAGAAAAGCCCTTAATCCGCATTTCTGGATTGGCGCCCTCGCAGGAAAGAGGGGCACCTCTGGAAAAGTGGGTTTTAGCACCAAGTTTGGACCTTCAGGTTGTCCTTTTGTGCTTTGTTTGGAGGCTGTTTCGGGGCAACAAAGGGCACCTCCGAAGAGCGGGGGTTTAGCGATAGGACATTGGACAAAGCAGGGCACGGCAGATGCATCTACGGGCCTTTTAAAGGAATTCTGCGAACGAAGTAGGGGGTCTGTGTGTGAGTGTTGGGGCATGTGGCATCGCTCTTTGGAGCTTCCTGAGCGAAGCGCATTGCTCTAAACGTCAGCGAGGGCTGGCTTTTGGGGTCAAGGGGGCGCCCATCACTTATGGGTTTTGACCCTGCGAACCGACCGATTGATGAGCTGGGTTTTGCAAGGTCTCTACTTCCCCCCTTAGGCACGCAGTTGACTACCTCTTAAGGGCAGCTTCGAACCTCCAGGGGGTACCTTCATTCATGGGTGCTGGACTTCCCTCCCACTGGTTTTCGATCCTATGCTGCTGCTTTTTCTCTATTTTGGACTTGATGTTTCAATAGATTATGGGTTGACTCGGAATTTGTGTTCTACTCGTGCGACTGTCGCGCGATTTTTCTTCTGGCTGCGGCTGCGGCCAGGAATGTAGGTTTCTGCGATTGAAAGCAGAGGCATATTCAAGTGCTTTGGGGCAAAGGAACAAACTTAGGGTTGTGAGGCAAGAGCTTTTGTATTGAAACATATATTTTGCCAATATGTATTTTATTCAATCTTGCGCAGCAATATGAGGCAATCAAACCCGCAGTTGGTGCGGTTCCAGCTAATTCTTTTGCTGCCAAGTCGAGACGTGCAGTCTGCAAAGTCGTGGTCAGCTAGACCAAACCACCTTGTCAACCCTTGAGATGGACAAGGCAATCAAGGTTCAGCGGTCCGCCGCATGTTTCACAAACTTGAACCAAATTGTTTGGTATGGAACCTGCTATTGGGTCCCTGTGATATCACAGCTTGTGCGTGCCGTCCTTGTGAGTTCTCTTTGTTTCTTCTCTAAAAAGAACTAAGTGCACTATGGTGGCACAATATGAAGACTCGGGTCCCACCATGCACATGTGTGCTGAGTCCAGCTATGCGTTTCCTTGCTAGGTTTGATGCGAAAAGGTGACGTGTAAGATGCCCCGCAAAAAAGTCTGAACGTGTTTCTGATTCCACACAGCAGCCTCACCCCAATCCAAGCCCTAGCACACCCCATCATCCAGCCCACGAACATATGCCACTAAAATGCCAACCCCAAACAAATGCTTCAAAACTGTTTCGACAACAGGCCTCCAACCCTCAAGACTCTGGACTATCCTTGTCTGTCCTCAAGCAGTCCTACCAGTGTCAAAACCGTTGGCACGAAAAACGAGGGTGCTGTCCCCTCTGTGATGATCTTGCACCAGGTGCAATCAGAAGAAATAGCAAGATGCACCACTTGTAGGCTACATTTTGCAGCAATTTCTAGATCTAGAACTTACCCCATCCCAAAACTGTAATGCAAGGAAGACTATGAAGGAAGACGGTGAAGTAGCTTGACATAGGCACACCACATATTATTTGTTCTAGAGATTCCTTGCTTTTACAACGCATTTTCGTAGCCTTTGGATTGTGTTACCTTCACGGTCTCGTGTTTGTTGCTTTTCGTGCCCTTGCAGCGACACGTGACCTCGGTCGCACGCCAAACATTTACGGTGCAACAATCGCGCATCACTTGTCCCAGGTGAGGGATCAATGGAAGCTTGGACGTCGTACTCTTCATGATGTTTGCTATTCTTTGTCACGGCGGTCAATGGCTTTTCCATGTGAAGGAATGCGGGCTGTACTTGTGTGTGACACAACCGAGCAGCTGTGCGAAGATGTGAATGCTTCGCAGTGGGCCATCGAGGAGAGACCCACGACCCAAGTGCTTGCCTTCTTTTTCCCAGAGCTATCAGGGTGGAAGGGTATGCTGCAGCAACTCTATGATGGTAACTGGGTGTTTCATGAAGTCTTGAATATTTGCTCAAGGGAATTGAAGCCTCACCTTGGCGGCCTGCTTTTGACGGACGCTTTGTATGGTGCTTGTGAGCTCTCAGGTTCACTGAAGCAAGTAGCTGCGTGTGCCGTGCAAGTTTCCCTCACATGTCTTTGGCTTAGCTGGGGCATTCCCATCTCCAACTTCTCTGGACATGGCAAAGGTGAGCTCGTGGTCCGTGTCCTGCAAGGATCAAGCATCTTGGAGCTTTTGAGCGAGGAGAAGCATGGATCTCGACCATCTGTTGGTCCGTCCCAGAAAACTAAGCCCTTTGTGATTTGCGTGGGTCCAAGCAGTGCTGCCAAAGGCTTGGAGCCAGCCGTGTCAGCAATGTCCTGCTTGGCGCCTAGAGAGCAGGGTGCACGCAGCCTCTGCAAAGCTTTGGGCAAGTGGGTCAGTGGTGGACACGTAGATTGGGACAGGTACTACTCCAGTTTCAAAGGTGCTTGTTCGCCTGTGCGCTTGCCAGCCTATCCCTTTCATCGAGTTGGAGTTGAACAGTTTCAAAGTTCACAGCCACATGGTCCAGTGGATTCGAGCCTTCCATTTGCCCTGTGCAAGCCCAAGCCTGGTGATCTGGAAGATATGCCTCCCAATTTGTTGGCATGTGTAGGCCATGTTCTGGCAGTGGAGGCAGTGGATCTAGACCCTGAAACAAGCTTCTTGGAAAATGGAGGTGATTCTCAAAGTCTGCCTCACATGCAGCAAAGCCTATTCAAGACTTTTGGCGTGAAAGTCACGCAAGAGGATCTCATGAACCTGCCTTTGAGCCAGCTCCTTGGGCTCAAAGAACTGGAATGCGAAGTCGACAGGTCACTGACCTGTTGTGAAGCAGACCGCTACCAAGCCTTTCCCTTGACACCCATCCAAGAAGCCTATGTTTGGGGCCGTGCTGTCAGTGGCGTGTCAGCCCATGGATACCTCGAAGTTGATGTTCATGCTGACTTTGATTTGTCTGCCTTTGAGAGCTCTTTCAGTGCAATGATTCGGAGGCACGACATGTTGCGAATGGAGCTAATTCGTGACAGTGCTGGAAACTATCTACAGCGCATTCGTGCTCCTGAGGCTACCGGCTGTGCGTTTCAGTGTGATATCATCGATTTGACTTCCATCGATCCGAGCACATCTCTGACATTGCAATTGCAAGAGCTGCGCCAGCAATACTCACATGAAGTCATTGAAATGGAAGGAGACTCACTCTTCCGAATCCGAGTGTCAAAGTGCCATGACATCGAAGGACATGTCTGGTGGCGATTGCATTTCTCATTCGATTCGCTTGTTCTTGACATGTTCAGCATGCGTATTCTGTTTGCAGAGTGGCACGCTTTGTACACAGGTGAGCCGGAGAAGCCCCGACTGCAATTGAACTTTCGTGATTGGGTGATGTGGTCTCAGAAGCAGGCATCAACACCTCAGTACTTGAAAGCCAAATCATATTGGGAACAGCGCTACCAGCAAATGCCGGGAGCACCAGCATTGCATTTGCTTCGACGCCCGGAAGGATTGAAGGAATGCCGATTTCAAAGATGCATCGACTTTGTGGATCAGGAGACCTGGAGCCATCTCAAAGTCTTAGCCAAGCAATTCGGGCTCACAAGCACAAGTGTTGTGCTAACACTCTTTGCAGCAGTCCTTGGTCGATGGTCCCAAACCCAAGACTTCCTGATAAGTCTGACAACCTTTGATCGGGACAGTATGTTGCATTCGGAAATGGGTGACATTGTAGGAGACTTCACATCTGTGATCTTGCTAGAAGTGCACACATCCCTGTTTGGGCACGAGCCGCTAAAGGCTTCAGTGGAGAAAGTCTTAAAGCAACTCAACGATGACTTGCGCCACAAGCAGTACGATGGAGTCAAGGTACAGCGAGAACTCATTCGCAGCCAAACATCACTCGTAGCCCCGATTGTGTTCACAAGCTTGCTGAACCTTCCGTTTTCAGACTCGAGCGAATCTGTAGGACAGCACTTTGGAGATGTTGCTTTCAGCATTACTCAGACACCTCAAGTCTGGCTAGATTGCAAGGTGTTTGAGGCTGCGGAGCGGCTGGCCATTGAGTGGGACTTTGTGGAAGAAATTCTACCAGCAGACCATGTCCATGGAATGCATGAGGCATTTTGCCGCCTGGTGAAGCTTACAGGTCGCCACTTTGATGCGCATTCTGCAATTCCGGAAGTCCTTGGAGACGCGGATCTGTCAGCCTGGCGAACATTCAACCGCACAAGCCGCGCATGGGAACAAACAT